GGCCAATGATGCAGAGGAAGAAGAGGAGGAGGTTCAGCAAGTGAGCGAGCGTGCACCGTCACTTCCTTCCCGTACTACGAGTGCTCCACGGATTCGAGCCACACCGCAGCAACGCCAAGGCCTTCAAGTCCCTGCAGCTGAGGAGGAAGGAAGGGGGAAGAGGAGAGTTCAACCCCCTAATAGGCTGACCTATGATGCGCCGGGAAAGCAGGGCAAGACAGCCCTGGCCGGAGCGGCAATGATGGTCGGAGACGACGATGAGAGTGACTACGAGGAGTGTGCCTTCGCGTTCTTCTCTCCGGTGGAGATGCCGGGAGAACCAGCAACTCTCAAGGAGGCTTTGGAAAGTAGTGATGCTGAGGAGTGGAAGAAGGCCATGGAGAGTGAGCTGAAGAGCATCGAGGAGAATGACACGTTTGAATTGGTGGAGCTACCGGAGGGGCGTACGGCGATAACGTCCAAGTGGCTCTTCAAAATCAAGTCGGATGCCGACGGCAAGATCGAGCGCTACAAGTCTAGGCTTGTAGCCAAGGGGTACCAGCAGAAGGAGAAGGTGGACTTCAAGGAGCTGTTTGCCCCTGTGGTGAAGCCGACGACGCTGCGAACCCTATTCGCGGGAGCCGCCATCAAAGGATGGGTAGTAAAGCAAATGGACATCGTAACGGCATTCCTTAACGGCATCCTTGAGGAGGAGATTTTTATGGCGCAGCCAGAGGGGTTTGATGATGGTAGTGGCAGAGTGTGGAAGCTGAAGAAGGCCCTCTATGGGCTGAAGCAGGCCCCTAGGCAATGGTACATGAAGCTGCGCGAAGTGTTGGAGGGGATCGGCTTCACTCCCTCAACGGCCGATCACTCCTTGTTCATGCTTGGCGAGGGGGAGCAGAGGAGTTTCATGGTGGTTTATGTGGATGACATCCTCATTTTCTCACCCTCTTCTGACCTTGTGAAGGAGGTGATGCTGAAGCTTCAAGACAAGTTCAAGTGCAAGGCCCTTGGTGACGTGAGCTTCTACCTTGGGCTCCACATCGAACGAGATGTGGAGAAGCGGTGCATGCGCGTGCATCAACGAAAGTACCTGGAGGCATTGGCTGCCAACTTTGGGCAGAGTGAAGGCCATGTGGATACACCCTTTCCCTCTGGGTTCAAGTGTGTGAAGGGACCAGAGGAGGAGAGCGTTGGTGAAGAGGAGAGGCGCCGATTTCACTCGTTGGTGGGCAGCCTCATGTATACGGCGGTAAACACCCGACCGGACGTCGCGTTTGCTACCGGGCAGCTGGCTAGGGTTGTGCAATGCCCTAATGAGGAGCAGGTAGCAGCTGGAATGAGGGTGGCCAAGTATCTTGGCCAAACACCGACCGTTGGGCTGCAATACTCGGCGGCGGCACAAAGGCGCCAAAAGGGCGCGGATGGTGTTGAACCCGGGCGTTTGTTCCTCACCGCCTACTCGGATGCTTCATATGCATCAGAACCAGAGGACATGACAAGTGTGGGAGGCTTCATATGCTGTGTTGGTGGAGGCCCAACTGCTTGGGAGAGCAAGAAGCAGGTTGACCAAGCTTTGAGCTCGGTGGAGTCCGAGTACATGGCACTCTTCCGTGCCGTACGGGAGATTGTGTGGCAGCGGCGTTTGTTGGCTGAATTGGGGGAGGAGCAGCAAGGACCTACCCCACTGTACTGTGACAGCCAGGGTGCCATTGCTCTTGCTAAGAACCCTGTGTTGCATGGACTCAAGAAGCACATGAGGGTGAAGTGGCATTAGACGAGGAGCATGGTAACCGCGGGTGAAGTTGAGTTGCGCTACGTGAAGACCACGGGGCAGCCGGCTGACATGATGACCAAGAGGCTGGTGGAGCAGCAGCATTTGAAGTGTTGCAAGCTGGCTGGGATGGCTCTGAACTGAGAGAGCAACATATCCTAAGGCCAACAATCCGAGGGGGAGTTTGTTGGTGCAACCCTACGGTTTGCACTCGGCTTGTTGTCCGTGTGCGTGAATGTGTGTGTGTATGGAATGGTATGAGGGCATGGGATAATATATATTTCATGCTTATAATTGTGTGTGAATGTTGAGTCATGATGTCGAGTGTGTGTGTCGAGTCAATAGCGAGTTATCGCTAGACGCGTGTTACGCGGTCGTTTGTGTCTCGCGCGCGGTTTCTATTTTGTCGTGCGCGGTTTCTATTTTGTCGTGTGTCGAACGTTCGGCGTGTCGCAGGTGTGTGCAGCAGACCCATCAAGAACTCAAGGATGAGTTTGTGATGAAGAGCCCGAGCCTTGGTGTCAAGCCTCAAGTGATTTCGAAGCTTGCCAAAAGGGTACACCTCAAGATATTGAAGATAGTTACATTACTTTGTGTAGTGTAACATTTCACTTGGTGTAGGCCCTAGTGAAGGGTAGTTTCGAGACCCTTCGTGGTTGGGGACAGTGTGGCACTGTTCCACATCACTGTACCTCGGCTCTTGGGGTTTGTAGGAGCTGGGAGTCATTCCCAACTCGTAACTCTTCCTATCTTGTGTTCTAAGACTATAGTGGCTGCCATAGTACCGTTCGTTCAAACCGACGCTGTGTCGTCAATTCTTTATCAAATCGTGCAATCTAAATTGATAATTGTAGACGACGTGAAGACGCTCCAGATCCAATTTGAATCAAGTCATTTTCAGCTGTGAGCAGAACGCTATCAACGTTTGAAGCCGCTGTGCAGAAATCCGTCTGTGCTCTCTATCTTTCGTTTTAGGCACATTCAAGCCTATTGTGACTATAACATGCCCGCCACCACCACCGTGGATGAAACGGGTGTTCGCTCGGTGCCTATCAGGAGCGCGGGGTATCAGAAGCAGCGTGTGACCGTGATGTTGGCGTGCACGGCGGACGGATTGAAGCTGAAGCCGTGGGTGTACTTCAAGCGCAAGACCGTGCCTAATGGCAATTTTCCACCCGGTAAGTCTATACCGTAGGTGCACTGCTCGTTAACTGCAGTCTGTTCCGACTGCGAATTCTAACTGCTCGTACATGTTTCCTGCAGATGTGGTCGTGGCTGCACACGAGAACGGGTGGATGGACTCCGCGGGCGTCGTCCGCTGGCTTGAGCAGGGCGTCAAGCCTTTCTTGAAGCCCAAGTTCGGCAGACACGCGAAGAGCTCGATGCTGGTGCTGGACTCTTACCGCGGTCACCTCACCCAGGAAGTGAAGGACAAGCTCCGCGAGATGAAATGCGTGCCGGCGATCATCCCGTCGGGCTGTACGGCGGAGGTACAGCCGCTCGATGTCTCCATCAACAAGAGCTTTAAAGCGTCGGTCCGCCAGCAGTACCAGAGGTGGTTTGAGGCAGAAGGTCAAGAGCAGCTGACGGCAGCAGGTATGGAATGAGCACGGTTTTGTGTTTCCCCCCCCCTCCCCTTGCTTATCTTTCGTTGTTGGACTAACGGGTTTCCACCGTTCTCCCGTAATGTTTCAGGGAAGGGAACTTGAAGAAGCCTCCTGCGGAGGTCGTCCTGAGGTGGATACAGGCCCTCAGATTCGTTTTTGGCCTGTCTGATTCGTCAGACTAGTACACAGTTTTAGTCTGAAACTCTCAGAGTTGGTATTAAAAAAAGGCTGAAATTTCATAGTGTCTTAAAAAAAAAGTCTGAACATTTGAAATCAATGTATTCAATGTTCATCAGAAATGTATTCATTGTTTCATTCACCTGTTACCGAAACTAGACTAAGGGGATTTCGGCGAATCTGCAATGTCAGACGCGAATCTTGAGTCAGGGCGAATCCTGTGGTGTGGTGATTGGGTGAATCTTCGGATGATTTGGCGAATCTTTTGCTGAGCAAATCTAGTGGTGTGACAGAGCGAATCTGCAATGTCAGACGCGAATGTTTGGTGATTGGGTGAAATTGTTGCGCTATGACGGCGCAAATCTGTGGTGTCCGGGCGACTTTGCTATGATTGGGCGAAATTTCTGTGTTGTAAGGCGCGGATTTGCTGTGTCAAGGCGATTTTGCGTTGACAGTGCGAATCTGCTGTGACCCGTGAAGTCCGAATCACCAGTCAAGAACTCGTTTGTACTCTGAATTCATCTGAGTACACTCCCGAAAAACTCTGAAACGTCAGAGTCATCCTATAAAAAAAATCTGATTTTCACAGAGTTGAGGGAAATTTTTTTCTGAATTTTACAGAGTACACCCAAAAATAAATCTGAAATCTCAGACTAAAACAAGCAAATCAGACAAAAAACTCTGACTTCTGGGGGCCTGGGTGGATATCTCAGGCCTGGAAGTCAGTGCCGGCCGAGCTGATAAAGCGATCCTTCCTCACCTGTGGCATCAGCAACGCGCTCGACGGCAGTGAGGATGGCCTCGCCATGGCGCACAGGCGTAGCCAGCTGACAGCGGAAGTAGATGTCGACGATGACATCATCGGTGATGGGTTTTTTGGCAACAACTGCCAGGAGCCCGAATCTGACGATAAAGAGACTTGTTAGGTAGAAGTACCCCGGCTAGATTTGTTGTTTCCTGCCTCTGATGTTGTAGCTGCTCTCTAGAAGTTCATATAAGTGATTTCAATGTAATAGTTTCTTAAAAAGTTAAAGGGTGACGCTTATAATAAGTACACAAATCTCAGGGGGGGCGCTTCTAATCGAGGTCCGGCCATAAGCGCCATGCTCCAGATAGAGGCGCCGGCGCCTATAATCGGACGGCGCCTATATCCGGGGCGATACGGTATTACAAGTATCTAGTTACTGAGCAGCATTTTTTGCCTGGTCCCTCTCGGCAGCTCGTTTGAGAGCCAGGGCTGCCTTCACCACATTGCCGCGAGTGATGAGCCCCACCTGCACCGCACCACAGCAGCACACGCGCAGAATCAGTCTGCGGTGCTAAACCAAGTGTGTAGTGTTGTCAAGTAATCTCATAAGTTGTACATGTCCTTGCAGGCTGAAGCGCAAGGTGCTCAGTGCGTGCTGGCATGTCGGACCGAGGTGTGCGTTCGTTCCTCATCATTCCTGCGGGGCGCGTACCAGTTTGCCGTTGTCGTCCACCACAGGCAGCCGGCGGTGCTGATTCTCCAACAGCATCCTGCCAGCAGCAAGCGAAAGGGTTGGCGAGGGAGCAGAGAGAGAGAATGGAAGGCAAGCAAGAGAGAGAGCGGGGGGCAGAGAAGGGGAACACTGGATGAAGCGGCGATTGGGTTTGATGGGGTGTGGAAAGGGGAAACGGAAAGTATTCATGGGAGGGGAAGAACAGGAGGAGGTACGGAGGAAGGGACAGGAGGCAAGAAAACGGGTGTGACCTGGAAGCCTTAACTTCCGGAAAGCAGGCATGGTTGCAGGGAGGCATGGGGGCAGAGATGCATGGTTGCAGGGAGGCATGGGGGCAGAGAGGCATGGTTGCAGGGAGGCATGGGGGCAGAGATGCATGGTTGCAGGGAGGCATGGGGGCAGAGATGCATGGTTGCAGGGAGGCATGGGGGCAGAGATGCATGGTTGCAGGGAGGCATGGGGGCAGAGAGGCATGGTTGCAGGGAGGCATGGGGGCAGAGATGCATGGTTGCAGGGAGGCATGGGGGCAGAGATGCATGGTTGCAGGGAGGCATGGGGGCAGAGAGGCATGGTTGCAGGGAGGCATGGGGGCAGAGATGCATGGTTGCAGGGAGGCATGGGGGCAGAGATGCATGGTTGCAGGGAGGCATGGGGGCAGAGATGCATGGTTGCAGGGAGGCATGGGGGCAGAGATGCATGGTTGCAGGGAGGCATGGGGGCAGAGATGCATGGTTGCAGGGAGGCATGGGGGCAGAGATGCATGGTTGCAGGGAGGCATGGGGGCAGAGATGCATGGTTGCAGGGAGGCATGGGGGCAGAGATGCATGGTTGCAGGGAGGCATGGGGGCAGAGAGGCATGGTTGCAGGGAGGCATGGGGGCAGAGATGCATGGTTGCAGGGAGGCATGGGGGCAGAGATGCATGGTTGCAGGGAGGCATGGGGGCAGAGAGGCATGGTTGCAGGGAGGCATGGGGGCAGAGATGCATGGTTGCAGGGAGGCATGGGGGCAGAGATGCATGGTTGCAGGGAGGCATGGGGGCAGAGATGCATGGTTGCAGGGAGGCATGGGGGCAGAGATGCATGGTTGCAGGGAGGCATGGGGGCAGAGATGCATGGTTGCAGGGAGGCATGGGGGCAGAGATGCATGGTTGCAGGGAGGCATGGGGGCAGAGAGGCATGGTTGCAGGGAGGCATGGGGGCAGAGATGCATGGTTGCAGGGAGGCATGGGGGCAGAGATGCATGGTTGCAGGGAGGCATGGGGGCAGAGATGCATGGTTGCAGGGAGGCATGGGGGCAGAGAGGCATGGTTGCAGGGAGGCATGGGGGCAGAGATGCATGGTTGCAGGGAGGCATGGGGGCAGAGATGCATGGTTGCAGGGAGGCATGGGGGCAGAGATGCATGGTTGCAGGGAGGCATGGGGGCAGAGATGCATGGTTGCAGGGAGGCATGGGGGCAGAGATGCATGGTTGCAGGGAGGCATGGGGGCAGAGATGCATGGTTGCAGGGAGGCATGGGGGCAGAGATGCATGGTTGCAGGGAGGCATGGGGGCAGAGATGCATGGTTGCAGGGAGGCATGGGGGCAGAGATGCATGGTTGCAGGGAGGCATGGGGGCAGAGATGCATGGTTGCAGGGAGGCATGGGGGCAGAGATGCATGGTTGCAGGGAGGCATGGGGGCAGAGATGCATGGTTGCAGGGAGGCATGGGGGCAGAGATGCATGGTTGCAGGGAGGCATGGGGGCAGAGATGCATGGTTGCAGGGAGGCATGGGGGCAGAGATGCATGGTTGCAGGGAGGCATGGGGGCAGAGATGCATGGTTGCAGGGAGGCATGGGGGCAGAGATGCATGGTTGCAGGGAGGCATGGGGGCAGAGATGCATGGTTGCAGGGAGGCATGGGGGCAGAGATGCATGGTTGCAGGGAGGCATGGGGGCAGAGATGCATGGTTGCAGGGAGGCATGGGGGCAGAGAGGCATGGTTGCAGGGAGGCATGGGGGCAGAGAGGCATGGTTGCAGGGAGGCATGGGGGCAGAGATGCATGGTTGCAGGGAGGCATGGGGGCAGAGAGGCATGGTTGCAGGGAGGCATGGGGGCAGAGATGCATGGTTGCAGGGAGGCATGGGGGCAGAGAGGCATGGTTGCAGGGAGGCATGGGGGCAGAGAGGCATGGTTGCAGGGAGGCATGGGGGCAGAGATGCATGGTTGCAGGGAGGCATGGGGGCAGAGATGCATGGTTGCAGGGAGGCATGGGGGCAGAGATGCATGGTTGCAGGGAGGCATGGGGGCAGAGATGCATGGTTGCAGGGAGGCATGGGGGCAGAGAGGCATGGTTGCAGGGAGGCATGGGGGCAGAGAGGCATGGTTGCAGGGAGGCATGGGGGCAGAGATGCATGGTTGCAGGGAGGCATGGGGGCAGAGAGGCATGGTTGCAGGGAGGCATGGGGGCAGAGATGCATGGTTGCAGGGAGGCATGGGGGCAGAGAGGCATGGTTGCAGGGAGGCATGGGGGCAGAGATGCATGGTTGCAGGGAGGCATGGGGGCAGAGATGCATGGTTGCAGGGAGGCATGGGGGCAGAGATGCATGGTTGCAGGGAGGCATGGGGGCAGAGAGGCATGGTTGCAGGGAGGCATGGGGGCAGAGATGCATGGTTGCAGGGAGGCATGGGGGCAGAGATGCATGGTTGCAGGGAGGCATGGGGGCAGAGATGCATGGTTGCAGGGAGGCATGGGGGCAGAGATGCATGGTTGCAGGGAGGCATGGGGGCAGAGAGGCATGGTTGCAGGGAGGCATGGGGGCAGAGAGGCATGGTTGCAGGGAGGCATGGGGGCAGAGATGCATGGTTGCAGGGAGGCATGGGGGCAGAGATGCATGGTTGCAGGGAGGCATGGGGGCAGAGATGCATGGTTGCAGGGAGGCATGGGGGCAGAGATGCATGGTTGCAGGGAGGCATGGGGGCAGAGAGGCATGGTTGCAGGGAGGCATGGGGGCAGAGAGGCATGGTTGCAGGGAGGCATGGGGGCAGAGATGCATGGTTGCAGGGAGGCATGGGGGCAGAGAGGCATGGTTGCAGGGAGGCATGGGGGCAGAGATGCATGGTTGCAGGGAGGCATGGGGGCAGAGAGGCATGGTTGCAGGGAGGCATGGGGGCAGAGATGCATGGTTGCAGGGAGGCATGGGGGCAGAGATGCATGGTTGCAGGGAGGCATGGGGGCAGAGATGCATGGTTGCAGGGAGGCATGGGGGCAGAGAGGCATGGTTGCAGGGAGGCATGGGGGCAGAGATGCATGGTTGCAGGGAGGCATGGGGGCAGAGATGCATGGTTGCAGGGAGGCATGGGGGCAGAGATGCATGGTTGCAGGGAGGCATGGGGGCAGAGATGCATGGTTGCAGGGAGGCATGGGGGCAGAGATGCATGGTTGCAGGGAGGCATGGGGGCAGAGAGGCATGGTTGCAGGGAGGCATGGGGGCAGAGATGCATGGTTGCAGGGAGGCATGGGGCAGAGATGCATGGTTGCAGGGAGGCATGGGGGCAGAGATGCATGGTTGCAGGGAGGCATGGGGGCAGAGATGCATGGTTGCAGGGAGGCATGGGGGCAGAGATGCATGGTTGCAGGGAGGCATGGGGGCAGAGATGCATGGTTGCAGGGAGGCATGGGGGCAGAGATGCATGGTTGCAGGGAGGCATGGGGGCAGAGAGGCATGGTTGCAGGGAGGCATGGGGGCAGAGAGGCATGGTTGCAGGGAGGCATGGGGGCAGAGATGCATGGTTTGCAGGGAGGCATGGGGGCAGAGATGCATGGTTGCAGGGAGGCATGGGGGCAGAGATGCATGGTTGCAGGGAGGCATGGGGGCAGAGATGCATGGTTGCAGGGAGGCATGGGGGCAGAGAGGCATGGTTGCAGGGAGGCATGGGGGCAGAGAGGCATGGTTGCAGGGAGGCATGGGGGCAGAGATGCATGGTTGCAGGGAGGCATGGGGGCAGAGAGGCATGGTTGCAGGGAGGCATGGGGGCAGAGATGCATGGTTGCAGGGAGGCATGGGGGCAGAGAGGCATGGTTGCAGGGAGGCATGGGGGCAGAGAGGCATGGTTGCAGGGAGGCATGGGGGCAGAGATGCATGGTTGCAGGGAGGCATGGGGGCAGAGATGCATGGTTGCAGGGAGGCATGGGGGCAGAGATGCATGGTTGCAGGGAGGCATGGGGGCAGAGATGCATGGTTGCAGGGAGGCATGGGGGCAGAGAGGCATGGTTGCAGGGAGGCATGGGGGCAGAGAGGCATGGTTGCAGGGAGGCATGGGGGCAGAGATGCATGGTTGCAGGGAGGCATGGGGGCAGAGAGGCATGGTTGCAGGGAGGCATGGGGGCAGAGATGCATGGTTGCAGGGAGGCATGGGGGCAGAGAGGCATGGTTGCAGGGAGGCATGGGGGCAGAGATGCATGGTTGCAGGGAGGCATGGGGGCAGAGATGCATGGTTGCAGGGAGGCATGGGGGCAGAGATGCATGGTTGCAGGGAGGCATGGGGGCAGAGAGGCATGGTTGCAGGGAGGCATGGGGGCAGAGATGCATGGTTGCAGGGAGGCATGGGGGCAGAGATGCATGGTTGCAGGGAGGCATGGGGGCAGAGATGCATGGTTGCAGGGAGGCATGGGGGCAGAGATGCATGGTTGCAGGGAGGCATGGGGGCAGAGAGGCATGGTTGCAGGGAGGCATGGGGGCAGAGAGGCATGGTTGCAGGGAGGCATGGGGGCAGAGATGCATGGTTGCAGGGAGGCATGGGGGCAGAGATGAATGGTTGCAGGGAGGCATGGGGGCAGAGATGCATGGTTGCAGGGAGGCATGGGGGCAGAGATGCATGGTTGCAGGGAGGCATGGGGGCAGAGAGGCATGGTTGCAGGGAGGCATGGGGGCAGAGAGGCATGGTTGCAGGGAGGCATGGGGGCAGAGATGCATGGTTGCAGGGAGGCATGGGGGCAGAGAGGCATGGTTGCAGGGAGGCATGGGGGCAGAGATGCATGGTTGCAGGGAGGCATGGG